TTAAGGAAAGGACCACTGTGACTCTTCCCTTCCCTTCCCATGGGCACAGACTACACATCTAGAGCTTCTCTCAATGGGAGGCAGGCATTGTGCCTAACACTCCAACCTGGCACAGATATCCCCCTCTCCCAGGCGGTGAATTCCATAAAGACGACTTCCCGGTTAGCCTGTCCCTGTTAAAGGGGGCAGTGGAGCATTGTCCACTGGGTCTGCCTCCTGTCTGGAGAGGGCGCCTGCAAAGGGACAGTTCCTTCCTCCCTGAGGCGGGCCCTGCTGGCTCCTCTCCTACTAGCCATGCCCACGGGAAAGAGACCAAACCCCATGCCAGAGTCACTCACCTAAACGAACTTTAAGGGGGTGTCTGGGAAAATGTCATCTATCACCCCTCTACACATGACCGTCACCATTTTCTGACACCGAGCCCTAGTGTCACAGGCAGAATCCACACACACACACGCACACACGCACACATACACACACACAGGCGCACACGCGCGCGCGCACCGCCGCCGCCGCAGATCCCCACCGACTCCGGTTCCTCTCGCCCACCTCTGGATGGGAGCGAAGGATCCAACCAACCCCTTCGCCTCCCGCCCGCCCTGCCTGCTCTCTGCCCTCCCTTGCGTAGTATTTTTTGAGGAGCAAGTACTATTCCAGAAGCTGTAACTGTTTCCCAGCTGGACCGAGCGGTGGAAAGTCTTTGCTACTGTGTTACCTGGTAGGGAACGTCCCGGGATCAACAGTCCATCGCCTGGGACCGGGACGCATCGGCGTGTTGGCGGGGACCCCGGCGGGGACCCCCCCCCCCCNNCCCCCCCCGCCTGCGCTCGGAGCGCGCGGCTCGCACACGCACGGAGCGTCTGCGGAGATCCGCATCCCTGCAGCAGAGGGTCGGGCGTCCGTAGGGCCCGGGAAACCATCCAGCCCGGCCCAGGAGACCTCCCGGAGAAACACGGAGCTACCCGACCCCTCTCCCTGGCTACCAGTCCCTCCACCTCGACCCAGAGGCTGGAAAGAAAATTCGGTGGTCAGAGAACGCTGCTCCCCGGCTCCCGGGGCACCGAACCTCCCCCTTCCCCACACGGCGCACGAACGAGCCCCGGGCATTTAAAACTGCCGCAAAGCATCCCAACAAGCCTCGTTTTTCTCTTCGCCCCCAAACCAGACAGACTGCAGAGCGAGTAAACGCACTGGGCGGCGGGAGCCCTGCTCCCCTCACCTGCTGGGGCTCCCCGTGAGCATCACAACACGCACACACACACGCACGCACACACGCACGCACACTCACACTCACACCGCCTCACACCCAGGGGCTCCCGGAGGAGCCGCGGCGACTCCCGCTTACTTCATAAATCAGTGGAGCCCTCCACCGTCTGGCGCCCCGCCTCAGCGTGGAGTCGCACGTTCAGCCCCCATTCACTTGGCTTCATTGATCTCCAGCAACAACATAGTTACTTTCTCTTTTGCTACACTGTAAATGTACGGTTCTGGGGGGGCGGGCCGGCTGCCGACCGACGGCGAGCTGGGCCAATAGGAATCCGGAAAGAGCTGACCGTTACCTCACAGCAGCCCGCGTCCAATGGGCGGTCGGCGGGGGCGGAGCTGGGGGCGTGGCCTCGCCTCTAGAAGGAGGGCCGCTCCTACGCCGCCCCGGGTCGTCGGTGTTATAACACGGGCGGTGATGTCATTGGCAACCAATCAAAAACTTAAAAAGGGCCAGCCGGGGCCCGCGCGGAGCAGCTGCTCTTTATTTACATGTAAACCGAACCAGCAGGATGCGGTTAACCCTTTCCAGGGCCCGATTGTCAATCGGCCGGACTCGCTGCTCCGGCTCCAACGGGCTCTGCCCACTAGACGGGATCCCCCGAGACCCCATCACACGGGGATCGACCACGCTGTCTCCTTCTCATTCCTCCTTCCTCTACACGGACGATCTAAAGTGTCGGAGTAACTTTCTAAAAGCAAGAGACAACGAGATCACTGTTCCCAACGGGAAAGCCGGGTTCTTCGCGCGGCTCGAGGTGACTTGACAAACGCTAACCCGAGAACCGCGGACGTCGCCGAGCCGCCGGCGCCGGGACGCTCGTGAGCGCGCAGCCCGGGGCATTGCTTCTCCTCCGGCCCGCATCCCGGGGCCGCCGGCTGCGGGCCTGGG